GATTTTCAGTTCATGGTAAACACATGGTATGAAAACTGTACATAAAATCCCACTTTTTTTTTTTTTTACAAATAAACTATATTTCAATTCTATCTCTCACAAACTTTGCCGTACCTTAATATGTATGATTCAGATGTTTGTATAGTATTTTGAGTTTTGAGTAAGTTCCTGTTTTGGTCAGCATGTCTTTTATGAAGTCATCAAAATTAAGGTCATTGAAACATCACGAGGTTCATTATGCCTTAGCATTTAAAATGCCTGTGTATTCTGAAAACAACAACAACAAAAAGTGACCTGCTATGTTATCATTGAAATTTATCAGAAATCAAACAAATCAAAGTTTGTATTCGTTATCTTTACGCTTGTTCTTCTAGTGTCAAGTCTGCCAGGATTTGAGAAAATATAGAGGATCACTTTATCTCTTCATTTTGTCAATTAGGTTTTTATGTATGTATTGGTTTATTCAACTATAATACACCTACATATTTTCATCAAATAATCCTACAAAATTTCATTCATTTGATCAAATATATTTTCATACATACATTCACAGATTTTTGTCTCAAACTCAAAACTGTTGATGCTGTAAACTGGCTGGATGGGAGTGCAAAGCTTCCAGAAAGTTCTAAAATGTCAAAATCACTGGACTAGAGAATCAGTGTTTCCTGACTTAAGTCCAATTGTATGTGCCAACCTATCTCAGATTTCTCTGGATCACTCTTCTACTTCTGGTAGTATTGGAACATCTTTTTCCGTCTGTGTTCATGGAATTGTACTACTGCGAAATGCTGACATGATGACAATGGCAAGAATCCAAAGGCTTATCTGCTCTCTTCTGAGTCTGGTATTCCAAAGGAGTTACGAAACCACAGTTTGACACATCATGAATAAGGAAATAAGGAAAACACAATAGAAAGGAAGAAGGAAGAAGAAAAATGGGTAGACATTTGAGTCTAATAAGCCATTTTTCTTAGGACTTGGAAAAAAGGCTGTTTAAAGCTCTGTTTACTACCAGTTATATAATATCTTTAAACAAAAACAATGTTTAGTGCAAATTAAATTATCTACAGAAATTCTGTAGCAATTCTCATGCACTGGCTCACTCTGCCAAATGATTACAACAGCGACGGTAGACTGCACTTACAGCCTTCTCAGACAATGCAAACAAACATGCATTATAATTCAATTATAGCAGCAGAGAGCTACTTGTGATTTTACTTTCAACTATATTAAAAGTTAATGTTATTTAGGGTTTTTTTTCCCTTTCTCCTCTTGTGAATGTTTTTTTCTTTTCTCCTCTTTCAAAATTACCTAAAGAAGCAAATACACAGTTATGCATAACCTATTTGTGAACCAGTTAGTCTTTATATCAGCAGAAACATTAGAGAAAACTTTACTATGGAAGCATTCTGTTAGAAAAATATGAATATAATTCTATGCCATGTATGTATTTTTCTTCTTTAATATTTATTTTACCTTCAGAATCAGAATTTGTTAAAATGTCAACTTAACGGAGCCATCCATGCTCTTTAAATCCCACTTTCCCCACCTGGACAATAAATGGGTTTACCTGAAGAAATCCTGTTATTCTGGTATTATGAATTATAGCATATGCCTAATTCAGGATGCTAAGTGCATGTGTGATACTCTGTATTTCATTTCTGTGTTTTAAAGGATGTTACTATTTATATGGACCGCAATAAGTGACACAGCATAGTATTGTTAAGTTATTTCTGCATATAAGTTTTTGTCACTTTTTCCCCAATGATAGTTAACTTTGCTATTACATATCACTTTGTTGTGTCGCTTCAAACTGCTAGGGCCTAAAAATTGTCTTTCAATGATTTTTATTGTAATAATAATACACAACCAAGATAAGATATTTTGATGAAGAACAGTATAGTTAAAAGCATCAGAAACATACAGTTTTTTAGAAGTAAATTCTAAAGAGTATAGGAGTAATGTTTAGCTTCTTTACTCATCAAGATTACATAAAACCAGCATGAGGTACAACTATTCAATTGATAGAATGGCTAAAATCAAGATGACTGGAAAAAAATCCAAACACTGATTAGAATGTAGAAATATAAAGACTCACATGTAGTCATAATGGAAATAAAAATTATCTCAAATAGTAGAAGAAAGCTATTTAGCAGTTCATGAAATTATTGCATGTCGATCTACCATACAACCCATCAATTTCATACTGATGTCTTATCCAGAAGAGAAAAAATCTTCAAAATTTATTGAAGGAAAATAGTTTAACATCTTTATTCCTGATACCCCCAGACTAAAATAAAAGTACCATTCACTAGCAAATGTATAACATGTATAATGATGTAAATCATAATATAATGATATAAATAGTCATAATAATATAAATCCTTCTTGCCACAAATCTAAATTGGTGTATATCCTGTGCAGGGATTATATGATACTACACAGGCATATAGGTACTAGAATGGATAGCAGATGTGTGGGTTTAATTTTGTTTTTCTTTTCTACATGACAGAAAGAGACATGGGAAGTTTCACACAAGATTTCCCACCCATGAATTCAGTCCTGAAAATGCTTAACTCAGTCAAGGTCTTGCATGTAGGCAGCAGGAATCTAATTGCTTAAACCATCATTGTTGCCTGCAAGACTCTTTATTAGGGGGAAATTACAGTGAAGAACCAAAGTCAGACATTGACTCCAGCTCTTCAATGTGGGACACAGTCTCCAACCGTTAGGCTAGACACCTAACTCAGTGTGTAGGCTTACTTTTTCTTCTTAAATGTTAGTCTATTAATATGAGAAACAGAGTCACCTCTCCTCCTCAGGTTCACTCCTCCAAACAATTGCAACAATAACAGGAGATTGCACATTGCACTTGCAGTCTTCTCAAAGAATGCAAGAAGCATATATTGTAATCTTTTTAGAAAGATGTGATGAGATGCATTCATCATAATTCATTTTCCACAGTTCACGTGTTTATTTTTTTCCTACTAAGAACCGCTTCTTCTCAGGCTCACAAATTAATGAAATTTGTTGTTATTTCCGATGGGTCAATATTCACTAGCCAGTCATTAGCATCTGTAATGATCATTGACATTTCCTGTAATTTTTAAAATTCTTAATCTGTGTTCAAGCTTTGCTTCCATTTTCTCACAATCATTAACCTTTTGGCTTTTTCATTGAAGACCCATCTCTCAATTTCCTAAATATTCCAAGAACTTTGCTTGTATTGTTTTCCTTCTAGACCACCTCATTCTTATATTTAAAGACATTTCTACTTATTAGCAGTTGTCTTAATAAAGTATAGATATAATCAAAATAATGTACTAAATATCAAAGCATGATACATGACATTGAACTAATACAGAACTTCATGTATTATTAATGTTTCCTTTCTCTGTCTTTCTAATCTACTAGACTTAACTCTTCTTTGCCTCTCTCCAACCGTATGTGAGAGCGCCATTGCCTTTCCATTTTCATATTTTTGGTGCACTGCTTTCATCTGCCCTTTTACATCTCCCTCTGATCCAATGACTTAAAATTTATCCATCACCTATCACGACTAATTATTTCTCAGTTGTGATGAGGAAAAAGGGATTCTTCGAGTTGTAAATTTGAGTTAAACCATTCAGAAGTGAATGGTAACTTCTGTAAATAAGTAGTGCTTTCAAATTTAGATCGGAGATCAGTGTTCCAGCTTAACAATGTGAGACACACAGAGAACTCCTACGCGTAGTCACTCTCTAAATGTTCATAACCACCAGGACTGGACGCCAGAGCCTGTATCACACATCAGGGGCTCAGGCACTGGAGCCATCTCTGCTGCCACCCAAAGTCTGTCATAGAATCCCACAATCAGGAGCCAGAATCTCACATGGGATGCAGGCATCTTCACCGCTTGGCTAGCTGCCCTCCCCAAAGTCTTTATTGTTTTCAAGCAGTATTAATTCTTTAAATTATTCGTGTTTGTTTTGAAATCAGAACTAATTGGAAAGAGAGAGAATGATTTTCTGTCCCCTGGTTCACTCCTCAAATAGTTGCCAAAAGCCAGTGTTTGGTCAAGCTGAAGCCTGGAGCTTCTTCCAGGTTTCCTAAACAGGTGATTAGGGCCCAAGCACTTGCACTGTTTTCCACCGTTCTCCTAAGGCAGTTAGCAAGGAACTGGGCTGGAAGCAGAGCAGCCATGTCTCAAGCAGATGTCCACATGGGTTGCCAATGTTGCAATCAGAGGTTTTACCCATGCACCACAAGGGCAGTTCCAAACATTAATTCTTCTCCCCACATCCCTTGCACTCTTCCCCCACCTTCCCTTCCTCTTTTTCCCTTCTCCTCTTCATCTCATTCCCTATTTCCCTCTCCCTTCCAGAATTTTTTGTAAGAATGACTAGAGATAATTTTTAACTTCTGCCTAGATGTCAGGCTTGCAGTTTTAGGAATGCTGAGACACCTGTTACACTTATACTCAGGTTATCTGCCTGCCAATTCACCAGCCCTTTTATTTAGATACTAATTCACTTTATACAAATCATTACTGACCGCCACACCTTATAAGTTGGATTTATTGCAATTGATTACTTTTTAGATTTGGAAACCTCTGGAAAAAGTTAAAAATGTAAATGTTCAAGAAGCATTATATCACATAAACTTGCATATAACTAAAGCTATTTTTAATGCTAAATAACATTTCATGGATTTGGAAGATAATTTTTCTTCATATATTAATACTTAGAGTATAATTAAGATATCTTCAGAAAAAATAAATTCTGGCACGGTCAACTAGTTTTGGCAGAAGTGGTTACCCAAAGCTGCCCCAACCGGAAACATAGATAACCACTCTTTGGAGTAATAGTCTCATTTCCTGTTATCATGTCCTAAATTATCCTAAGCGGAAGGACTCTTGGGGTCAGTGGCACAAAATGGACAGAACTACAATTTCTAATCATCATGACTTCCTAGAATTCCAATATCTTTTAGGTATTTTAAACCACAGAATTACCATATCAGGGAGGAACAAGGTTTAAATAGTGCTGCAATAAATGCTTTCAAGTCTCCATCTGCCTGGACAGCTTGTCTTCTACTTGAGAAACAAGGTAATATTTTTATTAATCCTTTTTATTAGCATTATAATTAAATTTTAGAACATAATAATATTCCTCAAAAGGAAAAAGTTAAGGCACTGATGCTACTGTATCTTCAGGCATTTTAAGAAATCATTTTCTAGTATAAGCTACAATTTTACCATCTTTGGGGTGTTGGTGGATGGAACAGACACATGAAGTTGTTTATTACACTGCTTTATCTTATGAATAAGTGCCAAGGAACATCCATCATAATGAGGTTTTTAAAATAGAGGGCACTGTGAATTTAATATACGGCCTTTTAAATCAGTTTGTTTTTTTTTTTTTTTGGTCTGGTTTTCAGGCACCAAAACAATTGCCTAACAAAATTCAAAAGAGATCTACCACACTCCCTGGGAGATACTAGGTCTTGATAAACTGCAGGTCTTTGTAGGTTTCTCATTGTCCAACATTGTAACCGTGTTTTTCACACTCCCAAATGTCTGTGATGGCTAGAACTGCGCTGATCCAAAACCAGGATCCAGCAGCTTCCACATGGGTACACAGGCCCAAGGACTTGAGCTGTCCTCTGCTGCTTTCCTTTTGCTTTCCCAAGCCATAAGCTGTGAGCTGGATCGGAAGGGGAGCTGCCAGGATCACAGCTGGGGCTCAGAAGGTTTGCTGCCTCCAGTCAGAAGATTAGCTTGTTATACCATAGTGTTCTTTGAAAAATAATTAAATGGCCTAAGTATTTCACAGAATATTTCTAAAATGAGTATGAATGTATAGATATAATTTTATCTTGTGGAAACATGAACATATATCTCAGGCTTTTGATAGAATGAAAAATTCATACCAATTTTAGGCAATGTAAACACTGTAATCTGGGAATACCTATGCATATGAGCCATAGACAAACTGGAGTGAAAACCTCCTTTAGTAATAACTAATTAATTCAATACTTGTAGGATATAAAAATAAAATATTATCATATCAAAAATGCTTTGGAATAACTTTAATTTTTCCAGTTCTTTGTGTCACTACAGGAAATGCTGAATAGATCCTTTAGTCCACCTGATTTACGAATCAATACATGATTACATCACACAGAATGAATGAACATCGTGATATCGATTATGTATTGACTATAATAATACCTAATTAATGAAGAAAAACGTAATTTAGAGGCAGCAAAAACATTAACCGATTTGCTTCATACCTGTTTTACAGAACTCAGTGAACATGAAGTGCTTCATCTTTGCCTGCCTCCTGGCTGTTGCTCTTGCAAAGCCTGTAAGTATGATACGACTTTCGGTAAGACCTGTTTTTATCCCCTGTAAGAACGATAAATCTTGTGATCAGATGATGGTGAGGTGGGCAACAAGGAGAGAGATTAAGCATGCAAGCTTTCAAGCCATAGTCAAAAACTACACAAGGCCCTGCATCACACATGATATGAATGCACACACACTTTATGAAAATGTTGTCGGGATGGAAATTTCTTAGCAACAGTTATCAGTTTAGATTTGCCAGGAAATTATTTTCAAGCTGCTGAAATACTAGGAATTCCAATAAAGCTACAGATTTTGTTAAAAAGTAGATTTTGAAACCATTGGTCAAACAGATGACAGTTTTACCATTATTTATTGTGGTGGTTCAGAATCCAGAATCACAGGAAATGAGCACACTGGGGAAATCGCTTGATAAATAACCTAATGCAAAAACAATCTTCTAACTTCTAAATCATATTTTTAATAACTTTAGTGGTGTGCACATGTATGCCATTCATTTCCTCCAAGGTAATTCATAGATTTATTTCCTAATCTGGCAACCAACAGTTTCCATCCTTCTCCCATACCCAGTATCTCACTAATCACAAATCTACGCTTTCCTTATGGTTGGCAGAGTTTATTATTTCCTTAATACCTCTGTCTTGCATAAATTTTGACAAGGTTTTGTATTGGGAAAATCTGTGGTCAATTCAAGTGCCCAGGGATAGTAAGATTTGTAGCTAGGTAGATAGAAAAAAAAATCTCACTTTCAATTACCAATTTTACATCAAATTATCTCTTCTCCTTAAGACATCTTGGTCTCCACCACTTTCTTCTGTCTACTTAGTGATTTTCCTCAGTCTTTCTGCAACATAGAACAGGTACTTAACCAACTAAAGCTATAGTGGTTTCACTAGCAAAGGACAGATTATGGATACAAGGATCTGATTTTGCACAGCATAGTGGGAACATAAATACAAACTTGAGTGTAATGACATCTATTCTCAATATGAAAAAGTGGACATTAACTAAATCTTCAACTTTTTGCTGTTTTTCAGAAGCATTTGCACAATGCTTTTAAATATAACAGTTAACATAAACTAAATAAAATATAACACTTAATCATTTAAATATCCATACAGTATAACTATGCAGATGTCACATTACATTTTAAACTGTAATGTGATTAGTGTATAAAAATTGAGACCCCAACTTCCTCCTAAAAGTAGAAAATATATTAAGCTATCATGAAAATTTATAAGATGGTTTACTTAAAAAATAAACTTCATTTAACAAAGCTCTCAAAAGCAGGATATAAAGTTCCCTTGTCAGCAAGACTCAGTAAACACAAAAGAAACTATTTGGTATTTTAAACAAGTCATAAAAATCAAATTTGAATTTTCTTTTTTTTTCTTGTAGAATATGGAGCAATATTTTTCCAGTGAGGTAAGAGCCTCTAGCTGAAAGATAAAAGCCTTTTAGCCCGTATACACACAATATGCCCTCAACTAAGCAATTCTTTTAGAGGGAGAGGGAAGAAGAGGGAAAAAAGAGAAAAAAGCCTTTCTACAAGTCTGCAATAAGAACAATGCTCATCTGGATTCCTGTTTTTTCCAATTTATAAATAAATATATATATAATACATAATATATGTTATATATTTATTCATATGGTGCTTTTCATGTTACAAATCCATAGACTCAGGGATTTTCCCCTTGCATCCTCCCAAACTGTATAGTCCTTCAGCAACAGCCACAAGTCCATTATCTTCTATTCAGTGTATCATCACATTGTAGGTATAGACAATGGTAGAAAATCGAACATCCTATTATCAAAATATGTTTAACAGTTTCATTGAATCCATGTTAGCTGCTGATTTCCAAACAACTTTGTGGGCATGGTTCACAGCAGATGCCAAAAGATATCTTCAGTATCAACTAATATTTTCTTATTTGCCTACTGTGTATTTGCTTCATCTCTTAATAACTGAAGAAATGAATTCAGAAAAAAATAAAAGGAAAATGGAACTCCTGCAGAGGAAATAGAAAGTCTTTCCTTTCTGCTTTGTGGTTAATATTTAGAAGATTTCTTGATGCCATTACTCATAACCCAAACAGTACAGGGTGAGTTTGTTCTCTGAATTATGAAAACTTATGTATACAGGGAGTTAAATTTTACTCAGCTTTGCCATGAATTCAACAAAAAAAATCAAATGTGTAGTGTGCTCAGAGAAGACAGACATAAAACTTTTGCTCGATGGCTGGTATGGATACAACTAAGTGTCTTTTTTTTCTTTCCTAAGGAAACTCTTGCCATCTCCCAAGAAGTAAGTTCAAGTTTAGTGCATTAATTGCATTTTGGGTTTTTTTTTTCATTTAATGAAGGTTGTGAAATAAATGTATTTATTTTTTAGCAATTTAAGCAAGACAAAAATGTGGTCGAGTTTCCCACTGAGGTAAAATTTAATTGTTTTAATTTATCTTCCATTGATGAGATATTAAATATCTTTTCCCACCAAAATAAGTATTTTTTTACTCTCCCAATAATGATTATTCTACCCATTCTTATGAAAATAATGACCTTTCCATTGATTTATTAAAATTCTATGGACTAATATTAAGGAGCTCCAGAATGGATTTGTTAGCTGTGTGTCATTCATACTATAAATGCAGAGTTTTGAAATAAATTTTCTTAATGATTTGTCACCTTTACAATTTCATCCTGACTCTATCTATTCTGCACTTCAATTGGGGTTTTCTTTGTTATTACTTTATATCAAAAATGTTTCAGTTCGGGAACTGACATATGCCTTTTTCCTCTTTAGGAGAACATTTGCACCACATCCTGTGAGGTATATGTGAATTTCACACTTACATAACAGCTTGGTATAAAACAGTTGTGCTTTAAGCCAAAATAGAATTCATCTAAATTCGTAAAATGTATTTATAGACCATCATATTTAAAATCAAGACTATTTCTAAAGATTGAGACCAAGATTGTTTTCCAATTTGAATCTACAAATGATTCAGCTAAAGAAAATACGCTAAGGACTAGCATATGGATTCCCAAATTCCCTTCGGATTAGAGGACTTCTTCATTCAGAAAACCCCAAAATTCATTTGCCCGTTTTAAAAATTACTTTTCTATTTAAACTTTTTTTCTTGAAATTGACTCATTTAAGTCAAAATATTTAAAATGGTAGCATTACATCGTTAACATGAAAATGCCAGTTTGTGTTGTGGCATTTTTTTAATCAAATTCACATTATGATAAGTAATGATGAGTTACATGAAATGTTTTCCATTAATTTGTGACTTTTATTCATTCATTCATCAAACTTGTACTGATGAATGTAGTGAACAGAGCCCCTCCCAACTGGTCCTCAAATTCTACTTTCCACTGGGGACTTGTTCACTAGCAAATGGGAAATGTCAATACAATTCCTCAGCATTTTATGTTGGAAAGGAAATTATTCTTTTTAAAGAGCTATTTATTTATTTTATTGGAAAGGCAGATATACAGAGAGGAGGAAAGACAGGGAGGAAGATCTTCCATTCACTGATTCACTCCCCAAGTGTCCACAGCAGCCGGAGCTGAGCTGATCCGATCCAAAGTCAGGAACCAGGAGCCTCTTCCAGGTCTCCCACATGGGAGTAGGGTCCCAAAGCTTAGGACTGTCCTCAACTTTTTTCCCAGACCACAAGTAGGGAGCTGAATGGGAAGGAGGGCCACCAGGATTAGAACTGGCTCCCATATGGGATCGCAGTGCATGTAAAGCGAGGACTTTAGCTACTAGGCTATCGCACCGGGTCCGGAAAACTATTCTTATGCTTCTCTTATCCATTATGTTTAGGAGCACATACTTCATATATAATAATTTATGCATTTTGTGTGACAAAAATGAGTCTAACTATTTTTGTTCTTTACTTAAGGAACCCATAAAGAGTACCAGGAAAATGGTGAGACATTCTTATTTTACTGAATAATTTTTGATTCATATTTCCAACATGTAACAATATCATGTCAGTGGCACCTGGGAATGTTTATATATTTCCTCTTTCAGTAAACTGGAAAGATATTTCTATGTATTTTAATTTCTCCACTCACACTTTGATAGTATATTGCTAAATCAGTCTATATTCTCTTAGGACACTTGAAATCAATGATAGGGTGATTTTTTTTTTAGCTTTTTCAGTTCTTCTCAAAGGTGACTTATAAGGAAAAGCCAAGAAAGTTTTTCTTTCAATACTTTAGCTTATCATACTAATGACCATTAGATAAAATTAAACCCATTTGAAGTAACTTTTAGGATTAAATAATGCTGGCAATCTGTGGTCACCAGATTTTGATTATTTATTAATTCTTGAGGAATCTCCCAGACACTCATCTAGTGATGTGAAAGATACTTGCTTTTATTTTTCTAAGGACTCTATTTGATTCATTTGAAAGACAGAATTACTTAGAGAGAATGTGTGTGTGAAGACAAAGAGAGAATTTTCCATGTGCTGGTTCACTCCCCAGATGGCTGGGCCATACAGAAGCAGATGCCGGGAGCTTCTCTTGAGTCTCCCACATAGCTGTAAGAATCCAAGCACTTATGCTATCCTTGGCTACTTTCCCAGGTGCATTTGCAATGAGCTGGAGCAGAAGTGGAGCACCCATTAGGGATGCCAATGCTACAGGCAATGGCTTAACTCACTATGCCACAGTTTAAGCCACAAGAAACTTTCTATAACATCAGAAAATGCATGTATTAAGAATAGCAGATATTAATAATTAAACTGCAGATGAATTTGTTATCCAAACTTGATATAATTGTGGGGACACTGAGGTTGACTTCCTGATCGGTGCTCTTGAGCAGTGTATATCAGATATCTGAGTCGAGACAAACCGCCTGTCAAATCAATCACTGTTATCTCAAGCACTGGCCCTTTGTTCTCATATCTTTCCCTGAAAAACTTCTCAATATTGCTTAGCTCGATGGCAATCATGGAATTGCCTCCCATCCCTAGCAACAACTACATTATCTGACTGTTCTGATGCACTTTGAAATTTGACTATTTTTTGTATAAGGAAGAAAGTGTGAAATTACCTAAGCAGGTATTTAGTTCACTGGTACATGAAACACTTACTGTGGTACAAATATGCAAGCATCCAGCATTATAAGAACAAGTGTATTATAAAAAAGAAAAAAAGAAAAAGCACTGTGAAGGTAGCCCTGGGCCTTATGTACTTGGACATGTCCTGAAGTCGTGCTAGTCGACTCAGTAAACCTGTCTTACCATCTCTCAGTACTCAGTGGCACTGGAAAATAATCCTGTTATTTTCCTTTTCTGGAGAGAGAATGACTTAGTTGGCATCATATTTCACCAGACCTGTGTTGTTTTGTGTCATTTGTTAACCTAGTACTGGAATGTCAAATTACATGAAGAATTAATGAAAACATAGTTTTATGCTACTGTTTTGGAATACATGATGCCTCTGATGATGAATATTTAGATTTATTTAATTTCTTAAATTTCTAATAAGTAATGAAATTTAAATGGTAATGGTTTGGGCCATGAATATACACTTACTCACATGTAGTACTCTAAAACTGAATCACACAAACCATGTTAATTTTTCTTTCCTAAGGTAAATGCCGAAGTTCCCAAAGAGGTAAATAGCTTTTTTACTTAAGATGGATTCAAGGTAACTCATATTATTTTTCTTTTTGTGTGTTTTTATAGCAAGCAATTTTGTTTTCCTTACTACAGAATCAATTCCCTTTTGGCAAATTTCTTCCACAAATGTAGTTTTCAGTAAATCATCAAATTATGACTGTTTCTTCTTTGACATGGTTACACAATTCATTGTAATTGCAGTTAAGATACAAACCACAAAATTTGGAGGAAATAATATTTATTTTATTTTTAATTCTAATTTCCAGCTAGAATCTTGTCAAATACATGTAGATTTATATTCTATGAAAGCTTTGTATTGAGCAATTATGCAACCGATTTTGGAAAGGATACAAGCTTCACGAAGTTTGTTGCAAGAATCAATGAGCTATGTTAGACACCAACAGAACCCTGCCATTCATTACATTTCCCTGTGACAATAGCATCATAAACAGATTTCCCAAGAGTAAAGATTTCCACTCAACACTCTACAGACTTGGGACGTTTGCTCTGTGTAAAGGAAAAGAGCAACTGTTTTGAAATTTGAAAACTTAAGAGTTAGCTCTCCAGCTCTACACAGCATTGCAATCCATGGCTTCCTCAACTTAAAGTGAAGGGAGCCTTGTTGATACTGTACACATACGAAAGATTACAAATACTTAGCTTTGTTTAAAAAATGCTACACACTAGACAGATGCATCTAAAATACATTTATTTTGAAAACAAATGGCATTTTTGATTACTTGAAAGTGGAACATCCTAAATAAATCTTGTCTTTAGAAAATTCTAATTACTAGTCTCATTTTATACTGCATTCAACAAGAATGTGCATTCAATTAACAATTGTCCAAGATATGCTCTCTCTATGAAATGAAAATTTTCCTGAGATGTCACTGTCATTTCATACTTAACCTCTACCAGAATTTTTATATAGTTATATCCAAGGCTTTGAAAAACTGTTCACTGCCTTACCTATTTTAACAGTCATTCTGCTACACATAAAGTAATGGGAGAGAGATTAAGAAGCTGGTCAGAGTCTTGGAATTCTCTACTCGTGGAGAAGGCCTTTAGGGTTCAATTCTATCTGATGGCAAACATTAGACTGGTTTCTAACACACATGGAAAAGGAATGAAAAGCTAAAACATGCTTTCTTTCACATGTATTTTTATAAATTGTTTTCACTGACTGCCTAATTTGTAAACATATTGCTTGAATTCCATAATTGACTATAAACATAGGCATAATCATAGGTAACTTCATGTGTTGAGTCTGTCTTTTTACTGAATCACTTTGTAACTTTTATAAAGGTTCTAAATAATCTAGAATCTAAATTACCTAAAGGATCTAAATGATTTCTAAAGGATCTACATGATTTAGTTCTGCCCACATCTGTACTGGCCCATTGGAGAGCATAGAATATTGGACTAAATTTAAAAATATTTTCTCCAGATGAAATACAATGAATTTTATCAGAAGCTGGACTTGCTCCAATATCTCCAGGCTCTTTACCAATATCCGATGGTTATGAACCCGTGGACTCAACCTGAGATGAGGACCCTTATTCCCACCATGGTGAGTTCACTGCCTTAAGGGACTGCTGAGCATAGGATAAATGCATTTAAAATAACCAGAGACAAAATTTATTTAAAAACAAAAAGAACTATTGATTTGATGTGACATCCAAAAGTGTCACTTGATCAAGTATTTTGCAAAGAGCTTGCTTTTTTCCCCCCTTGATCATAATATTCCTCAGTAGATTGTGACTCAATATATAAGCCATAGTATGAATTGTGTTGGTTTTATTTGTGACAATTTCAATAATAAGGTTATGATTTTGATTTTTCCTATATTTTAAAGCAAATACATCAATGTTCAAAAAAAGAACTATTAAGAAACTATTAAGAAAGTGAAACAGTTGTGAATAAAATCTCAATTTCTAAGAATTGAATCCCAAATATAGAAATATGTAGAAAGAAATGGCAACAACAGCACCTGTGACAACTAATTTATTTAAACTCAGTTACCATGTCCTAAGTATTTGCTCAGTCATCTCTTTGTTTCATCCTTCAATGTTTTCATTTAGGGGTGCTAGAAATCGTTATTTCCATTAACAGAAGAATCATAATGTATTTGTTCAAGCTATAAATAACCTTTCCCATTTTGTTTCATAAAATAATTTTCTCAATGATAATTCATCAAATATAAGACATAAATAACAAAAACACTCATTGAATTTTTTACCAGATCATAAAATTTAAGTTTTTTTCTTTTTTCCTTTTTAAACAGGACAGAGAACAACTCTCCAACAGTGAGGTAAACCGTTTTTCTACTTAGACAATTCTCTTGTAAGCTGATGTCACTTCAGTGTCACTTTGTAAGGCAACAAAGCTAGACAAATAGGATCTTGGGGAGCTGGGGCTTTCACCTTGTGAGAAAAATTGGAGGACAGAGCAAAAATGTGTATATTCAAAGATTTTAAAAGTAGGTTTGTTATATGAAATGCTACCAAAATTGAATGTGATCTCTCTTTTTTAAGTTAACTACTAATATTGCTATCATCTCAGGAGACATGGTGTGCAGCCGACACTCTGGCATCAGGACTCTGGTATATCCAGAGCCTCACAAAATACCCCTTACCCCTGTGCAAATGTCCTCCAGTGTGTGGCACGCAACAAAAACATCCTCAAGACCTCCCAGCACATAAGCTGCTTGTATTCTCAATTATTTATTCAGAAATGACTGAAAGCCTAATAAAGAAAGAAAAGTGAAAAGAAATAAACATTTTTCAATAAGCAATTAAAATGTATTTTGTTTTTCAGGAATTTGTCATTTTTCCTCAGAGAGTAAGTCAGAAACACGTTTGGGTATTTAGGATATTATTTTTTTTATTTTATTACTCCTTCTAAATTTGAAACAAATGTTATTTATTTTGTAGCAATACGAGCAGGAAATGGATGTGGTCATGCAAACCAGTGAGGTAAAACTTATTGATCTTTTAATTGATGAGTTACATTTTAAAGGTTTTTTTTTTTCAATAAATCTCACGTCTGTCTTGGTTTTAAGATGAAATGAGAGCACTTTTGGTTTAAATCTTGTAGACATCTCTGGAGCAGTATTTGGTTCTCAAAGCAGTCAGTCTTAGAAACTCTTTCTTGGAGATTAATAAACAGACCAGAAAATAAATGCCTGCCCCCAGGAGGCCTCCTCGGGGGACAATAACTAGCCTGGAACCACCCCATAGAAGGGACAAGTTAGGAAGCTAACAAATGCCTGAGAAGCTTTCTTTATAACCTGAGAAATGGGCAAATGAATCGTCTCCTCTCAAAGAATTTATGGTGACATAATGTGGGGGCGAGAGTAACAAACAAGGTCAAGCTCATGGAGACGTCCTGCTTGTGCTCAGCAAAGGGGCGGCAGGTGTCTGGACAGCTGTCTCCCTTGACCTCCAGGTAGACAAGGAATTTTACATGGGACACAAGGGAGAGGGTGTGGAGCACAGCTTTGCTGTTCACACTCTCTGAAAGGGCAGAATTCAGCTGACTCCCCAGTAGGGAATCCCTTGAATTAGTTGTTCGGGTTTTTATTTTCTTCAGTTTTCGTTCTTGTAAACTTCTTTGTTTGTTCCCCTTACCTGTTCTAAGACATTTTTTTACACAACGTATTTCTTGAAGCTACTCATTTCTAACTGACTAATCAGAAATATTGTGTGCACCTAACAAAACTCTCATGGTAAATCATACCCCTATTTTTAAAATAAACACAAAAATAGGCTGACTTGAACTACTTGATACCTAAATTTATTTCATGAATCCACTATCTTGAAGGTTCAGCAATGATTTTTAAAAGCATTGCAAGGGAGTGATGCAGTAGTTTAGTGCCTGATGCCACCACCTGCAAACCAGCATCCAATATGGGTAACAGTTTGAGACCTTGCTGTTCCACTTCCAATACAGCTCCCTAATGGCCTGTGAAAAATAGTGGAGGGTAGCCTGAAGTGTTTGGTCCCATGACCCTCCCCCCAGGAGACCCACTTGGAGCTTCTGGCTTTGGCCATGCCCAACACTGGCCTTGGCGGAAAGCACTTGTAAAAATGTATTCTTTTCTTCTTCCTGAAAGAAATTTATAGGTACATCCAAAATGAAATTATGTGATTAATACGGTGAGAATTATTTGCCTAATATTTATTTTATTTCTTTAAGGAAATCCCAGAGACAACTGCTGATATGGTAAAGTATTATTTAGATATGAAGCTGAATTTGATTCACAGTTTTTTAATTGAATGTTAAAATATTACTGTTATTATCGCTACACTTGAAACACTTTTAAAATAGGAAGATGCTTTATTTACAGAGAACTGCAGTTTCTTGCTACTTCTTATCTACTGTTCTCTCAATTAACCTGAATTTCAAATGATTTCAACTGCTTATCTGTTTTTTTCAAAAAAGCCTGTTTTTATTACATTTCAAACTGGGTATGTTATTCACCCATGATACTATACCATTGTATCAGATAAAGTACTGTAATTCCACAAATACTAGCAAGGTATTGATAACCAGACTCAGTGATCCTCATTTCCAAATTTTGACATTTGTTATTTTTTTATTTCTTAAGAAATCTTCCCATAAATCACTTAAAAGGAAAATGATACTTCTAAAAATTGAATAACCAACTGCTGCTGACTAATCATTTTGAGTAAATTAATCATTGCTTTTTTTTTTAACAAAATCACATCAAGGGGCTCATTGAAAATAAACAAAATCTTCCTAAGAAATAGACATATGCTCACGTCAGCATAGAGATCTGACCCAAACTCTCCACAGAGCTAAGAGTTGATTTTCCGCCCCATTCACATGGATGATGTGTAGCTGAATTCTTAATAGTTTCTGAAAAAGCCAAGGTCAAGTCATTGACCCTGTTCATATATCTTGGACTCACTATGGTGTTTAAGAGTTAGATACTAGGCTGCTTCTAGACTGTATAAATAATATATACAGGAAGTCCCTATTCTTGTGGAATAGACAGCCAAGGGGAGAATTACAACTGGCAACAGCCCTGCAAGAAGGTGATGTTGGGATTTTGTCTGAGTCTTGTGGATTGGGGCACAATGCAAAGTCTTCTTCAGTTTGGTTGAAACCAAGCCTTAGCTTTTCTCTCCACCTGTAAGTGTGGCTCATGAATACATTTAGAACAACTGTATTCATAGAAAGACCTCTGAGGATCTACCACACACTTGAACAGGCCAATTTAGCTTCTCTCTCTCTCTCTGTCTCTCTCTCTCTGTCTCTCTCTCTCTCTCTCTCTCTCTCACTCTCTGTCCCTCACACACATACACACACATTTCTCACTCTGTGTTTGTGTGTGTGTGTTTCTGTGTTTCCCTTTGCTTACACTACATTCAACATTATCAGAACAGTGTGGGTAAGTGAAAAATTAAAATAACTCCTATTTTCTATCAAGTACTATTATATTTTTACAGAGCATGGTCTGGTAATGAATACGTAAACTCATTTGATTCATAATAAAGTTCTATAACGTAGGACTTCATTTCATGACAGAATTCACTTGGTCCTCATTTATTAAAATAATCAGCTGCACACTCACTATAGTGATATAGACAAAGTTACTCTGGTTTTTCCAAATGAAACTGATTTTTGTTTTCTTTCCCTAAGGAATCAACTGAAGTATTCACTCAGGTAAGCAATTTCCTTTGGATGATTTTAATTAAATATTACCCCATAACAGTTTCTTTTGTGTTTTATAAGAGTTTTATTGTTGTTGTTTTAACAGAAAACTGAGATGACTGCAGAAGAAAAGAATTTGCTAAAATATCTGGTAAAAGTCCCATAGAACAGTATAACACATGAGGATGCTACTTGGACTTTGCTGAACTGCAATTCTCTTGATCAAAAACAAAGTCCACTTTTAGTAAAGTTAATTGCAGAAAATCTTTCTCCCAATGTAATAGCTATCTTAAAGCCAGGTATCCATCCAAAAATTATCTTAGTATTTTTTGAAAAGTCTAAAAACCCTCTGATTTTCCACTTTAACTTTAATCCCTATAATAATCTATATTCAGATCTGTTTAAATGACTCAAAATGGAACATAGAGAAGGAAGATATCTGTTTGACAGGCAATATGAAAGTGCCTTATCTGTTCTATTTGATTTATTTCTACAACATAACACACATTCAGACTAACTGGATCCAAGCCACAGAATCTACTAAATCAAAACACACATCCTTTGATTCAAACATTGGGATTTTTCTACCAGATGTAGAAAAGAAACCACAGTCTGAGGAATTTAATCTCAGTAAATCAATAAATCATCCTCTTGCCTTCTTATTATTCACCCACAGTCTCTTGTTTTCCTTTTTCTTTTTTCTTTCTTACTTACTTAATGCTTTTTGATTCCAAGTTCTGAATTAACCAAAGGATTCCCACAGAACTGCAGTTTAGTCTGTGAACATGAGCATAAATTGAACATAAATAAATTTTCACTTAGGTCCATTTGGTTAACCAAATAAATTTTAATCTTTCTGATTATTCCCAGCTCTATTCTGATGCATGGAATATTGTAACATATTTTTATAGGACCAAATGAACCAATACTATCAATTTACTCTTCCCCAATATCTACAAGATGTTCGTCATTTTCAGAAAACCATGACCCCATGGAATTATTTCAGGAAAATTGCGTACCAAAGTGTCCCCACTCTGGTGAGTGTTCAATTTTTTTTCTTTGTTAACTTAAAAATTAGTTCCTTTTGTGATAAAGTATATGAAGAAAATGAAATAAATACAGCCCCAACATATTCTAAGCCTCATTTCAGTTTACTCTTACAACAATTCTTACAGCCAGTTATACTAGAGAAAGTCCGTTATATTTTCCAAAAATATCTTAAATATTGCAAGGTAGCTAGACCTCTATTTGCCATTTATCACTTAAATTACAAAACACTTTATTTAAAGTAGGAAATAAGTGAAGAGGGGGAGAATAAATCCATCAAGTGAACACTTGACCATAAAAAAATATGAATTTGGAATCAGAAGAATATATGTAATGAGTTTATGTTTGTAGAAAAGTCACATAATTCCCTAGGGCATTATTTAAATTGTTTTTCTTTCTAGAAATTCAGGTACTATAGACATGTAGCTCTATCATTAGAGAAAAATGAGAAGTTAGTACCTGTGGTTTGTATGAAAAATGTCTAAACAATTCCTAACTATTTGCACAGGGGTGTAAATATTGTTTGTGTTTGCTCCTTACCATAAACTTTTTAAAAACTTGTTCTTTCTTTTTTTTTAAAGAGATACCTTTAAGACGCTTGAAATAATAGGTTCTACTTTATTTTGGTAAGTGCTTTTAGGACTGGAATTTAATCAATAACGTAAAACCAATTTTATGTACAAAATATGACTTTAAATGTTATGATAGTTTCAACTTTGGTAAAATTATATTTTACCTCTGAAATGCTTCAATTTTACTCATAAATTTTGACTCACAAATTAAATTTCCAGAATAATTGCATGTAAATGTGCTGCGTAGACACTTTTACAATAAACTATGGTCAATTTTCTCAGTAGATAGTGATCCGTTCAGCTAGAAGCAATGGCTCTGAAATCACAACATTCACACCAATATTTTCCTGTGACCTTTGAACTAGGCCAAAACATTCAGAGTGAATATTTTGATCTGAGGGAACATACACTTGTATATATGTTCTGAAGCTATTCATACAATTCCAACAATTTCTAAGGAAATTTCCCTGAAAGAAAAATCACCATTTTTTTTTTTACCGTTTTTCTTTTTGGTTTTTCTCTTTGACATTTTAACAAAGGGTTTTAGAGCAATGCTGGAGCCTCAGTGATCTGTAATGTACTTACCTATTGCTGTGTATGTAGTCATGCTTTTGTCATAATTTCCACTTGTGTATTTGAGAAGCACAGGGAGAGAGGGCGCCAGCTCCCTTGGCACAGGTTTACTGCCTATTTGCTGCAACTAGGAGGACCAAGTCTGGAAGACGAATCTAAATGCGAGGCAGGAACCCATCCCCTTAAGCCATCCCTGCAATTTCCCAGGTTCTGCATTTTCAGAGCCAGAGTTGAAAATGAAACCTAGGCACTCTGCTATGGCATGTGGGTAATGTAACAGTGGCCTATGCTCCAAGTCCAATGGCCCCCATCTTTTTATTTCTATTACTGTCCTTAAAGTATTCAGATTGCCTCCTTTTCTGAAATCCTTCCTCACTCAATTTATCTTCTTTATTTTTAAATTACCTGAACATACATTTGCAGAATGAAAAAGTACATTTCACCAAATGAATCATAAGAGTAATAATAATAATAATTCATTAAGGGCTTACAATTTTGAGCCCTTTCCCTATAGTGACTATCTTAATGTTCATAAGAAATATGAAACGTTGCAAGCATTACTTGGTTTAAAGAATTTGAAGCCCAAAGAAGATTAAAGAATCTGTTCATGATAACCCTGAGGCAGTGGAAGAACCAAAAATTGAAGACATTTCCAGAATAAATGGGAGGCGTGTGTGCCTGTGTGTGTGTGTGTGTGTGTGTGTTCTATATTCAAACATTATGTTTAAGCATTATCTTTTGTTGTTTTAGGTTTGAAAAGAAAATCAATCTTCTACAGTTCTCTTCTCTCCTGTATCGCTTTATGGCACCAGCATGCATGGACAGGTTGGCTGCTAAGACAGGAAGCATTGAGCCAAAGAAAGATTCTTCAGAAAGTGTTGTGGCTTGCTTATACCCTCCCTGTTAAAATCGCATTAAACATGCTGGGTCTGTCTGGGGTTTCGTGTGAACTGGGTTTGCCATCATCACTCTTTCTGTATAATGAAACATGTTTCTTTTCCCAAGAAAGTAAAATTTCAAGTGCATTCTTTGGCGTGGAATCATCATTTACACTGTTCATATAGACCCGGGAGGCTGGTGGTTTTATTAGGAGTAGCCCTGGATCACTGCTTGCCAGTGCGGGCACCCCATATCAGAGTGCCAGTTTGAATTCTACTTGCTCTGCTTCCGATCCAACTCCCTGCTTACATACCTAGGAAGGTAGGAAAATAGGCTCAAGCGAGACCCAAGATGGGGTTCTTGGCCCCAAGCTTTGGGAAGGCATAAGCATGATCATTGCAACCATTTGGGGAGGAAAGCAGGGAATGGAAAATTTCTCTCCCTCCCTCTCTCTCTCCTAATCCACACCACCTGCCTTTCAAATGGAGAACAACAAAACCCAAACCCTTTTAAATGCATGGGCATATACCCATTCAACTATCTTGGTTGCCACCAAATTAACTTTACTTAGTCTCTGGGCACTTCCATTGCACTTCAACTAACGTAACATTGAACACTACAAGTTCTGTCCATCAGCCACAGCTGGTTTATGTTGTCATTCAGTCTTTATTCTTCCATTTTTCTGATTTATTCTTATATATAATTGGCCACAGAATTCATCTCAAATTTTTTACCACAGTTCTTAAGCTTCCTCTAATCACAATGTCATATTCAAGTAGAAGTATAGGAAATAAACTCTAAAGTTTCAAAGATTCCCTTGACTGAATTTGAACTGTAATACTGTAACAAGGTGGAGGAATCCACCATGGGGGAAGGGCATGAGGAGGGGTTGGGGGAATCCCAGAGCCTATGAAACTGGGCCACATGATACAATATAATCAATAATAAAAAAAAGTTTCAAAGATTCAAAAAATGTTTCAATGAAGAAACATTAAACAATTAAATGCATGCTTGATCTATAATGGACACTTCTAGAGTTCAAGTGTATCCACACAAGATGGAAGGGTGAGAATGTTTAAAATAGAGAAGGATAAGGGAAGATGATTTGAGATTAGAAACTGGGTTATGATGTGAGAACAAAAACAGAAGTTTTTGTAGGAGAGTCATATTAAATAATAGATATATTTGAAAAATGAAAAGAAGTAAAGTTTGAAGACTATGTCTTCAACTCCATAAAATGTTCCAGTCTTTTAACTCTCCCATTGTCTCCCATAATATTCAATGCCTATTAGTTGTTTCCTTTCTTATGCAGTTTGAACCCTGAAAAGTTTTTCAGGCAGTAACCTGTACTTTTAAAAGGCGGAGCAGATAGAAGCCAAGAGAATTTTTCTTTGTCTTTGTAGAATTCCTAACCCCTTGACACCCAAATTCCATTACATCATCTCTATTCTCTATGGGCCTTGCTGCCTTTCCTAGGCAGTCCAGACTTCATCCTCGATTCTTTTAAATATTATCGTGAAGTTTCCTATCATTCCTTTTTATATTTGATTTCTGCTGCCACTCTTCTTGAGCTGCTGAATCTTAAAGTAAGTTCATGTTTTCTGATCTCTGTGGTCACCAAGCTTTATTGTTGGTATTCGAGTTGGCTATCTTCCTCAACTTTTCTGGACTTCATCTTCTTCTCAATAGGAAACTTTTCTACTTCATATACAGCATTGATTTCACCAAACATAAACCAATTCTCTCCTGATATCCCACCTCAATGACTTGATCAAAATCTCGTCTCTCTAAGACACAAGGGTATGTAACTTTCCTGCAGTTCATAATTAACACTTCTTTTGAAATACACACACACACACACACATAAGGCAGCCTAGTCTTTTCAATGATACCCATTTTGGCAAAAATAATTATTGTAATACATAAACAGAGCAATTTTTAATCATATGATTGTCTCTGTAATCTTATCCTTAAATCTATGATTATGTTAGAGGTGTCACTAATTTTAATACACGTTGAACATGAGGAAATCATAGCAGAAATAAGCCTCATTTAGGAACACAATTCTACTTGGTCCTGTTGACTAGATTTACTTCCTGATAACTTTTTTATAATTCTTTTTAATATTTCCTCACAGAATTTTCATATACTGGTAATCTTGTACCTGTACAAACATTTTGATGTGTTAAGACTCTGACCACAACCACTTCCTTTTTAACTACACACTTGAATAATATCCACTTTCCAACTATACACTTGAATAATATCCACTCTAATCATTTTAATTGATATCTATGTTGAAACTGGCTCCCGACTCTCCTGCTTAATCTCTAAAGCCTCCCCTCAGTTTAGACACATACATACAACTGACCTTGAATATTTCTCTGTATTTGTTAGTTTTCCCAATTAAAACAAAAGCAATATGAGGAACAAATATAAGTGAAATTTATTTTAATCCCTATTGCTCAAAATATTATTTAATAGTCAGATGAGTTTTCAGGTTCAGTCCTAATATTTGCTACAATAAACTAGGCTGAAGTATTTGTTCATAGCCCCTTTTGCCATCAATGAATTTGTTAGATACCTGTTCCCATTTTTATCTCACTAATGTATGGATGTCCAAAGGTTTTTCCTGTAATGGAAAATTTAGAAAATATTAAAAGTTTAAAAATGCAAAAAAATAAAAATGCAACATAAATATCTGATTATCAATTGCATATATGGCAACATATTCAGTAATTTATTTTTACAGATCATTTTGAATTAAACCTCTTGACATTGTTTCATTATACCACAGGCAGTCACAGAAGAAATGTACCCTATTGCCAAACAAACAAACTAACAGAATATGTTTTAGTCCAACAGTCTTTAAAATCATCTACTGTTTGTGGAATTTGAGGTTTGTCTCTAGCAAAATAAGACAACTTTGTGTGCTTATCGTTGTTTCTGACCATTTTATTGAATTTTCGATCTCCCTTCTATTCACTTGGTTGCATGTCCTGTGTATCTTCGAGTCTTAAGTTAGAATAGGTATCAATAACGATTGCCTGATTAAAAAAGAGAAGGAAGGGGTGGGGCAGAAAGAGGATAACAGATGACAGGAGAAGAAATGAGTGAAGAAAGAGAGGAAAGGTATGAGGGAAATGGGAAGGAAAGGGCAACATTAAAGGAGTAAAAAACTACAGAGTGATTGGCAAGAGTGGAGGAAAGGGGCTGGCAACAGTGTTAGAAGTGTCACATGAAGAACAGTTTAGCGTTGTGGGATGTTAACATCCAGTAAAGTGGTGCTGGTTGTGTTTCTCTGTCAAATCCCATTGAATGTTTAATCAATAAAAGGAAATGTTCCAAATTATAAATTAAAAAAAGAAACAAACTAAGATGCTAAAGAAACCTAGGATAGAACCACGTTGTGACAAATGAATACAATGATACGGCAAATATATAGGGTAGCCATATAAGAGGGTGGCCATACCTTATAAGAGGATAGAGAGAAAAGGAGTAACTTAAGAATCTTTGAGAACTATTGCCTCCGCTGGGTACTGTGGAACTAAAGACAATGAAACAAAATATAATTTTACATACATTTAATTCCCAAATATGCAAGATCTTTATTTTCAATTTCTTGAAAAACAGAAAGGTGAGCAAAGGAAGATCTTGCACAGCGTCCGGGGAGAGGAGAGGAAGAAGGAAAGAACGAAGGAAGAAATGATTTATAAGCCCAAATACTGTTTTTTCTCTCTAGAGGAAGAGAAATAATAGAGATAACACTGTATGTCACCTGAAGCAACCAGTTTCCTAATGTTAATATTCACAGGGTCGGTCACCATGAAGCTGGTTATTTGGGCTTGCATCCTGTGTGTTGCCTTAGCGAGGAGGGTGAGTACATGAATTTTTCTCATTGTAGCAATTGGACACCCCTCAAATAACTAAAAAGAAAAGCTACTAACCTTATTAGCTTTTGTATCTATTGTCCTCCTCTCTCTTTTATTCTATCCCCTAGATCTACTGGAATTAAAATCTAATCTTAAAATAGTAAGCACGTTCCCTACACCATTTTTAAAATTCTGATTCTGTACTGTCTAATCTGGGAAGAATTCATAGAAAAAGTTGAAACTTCATTGGAAAACAAATATGTAGGGTGTTGAAAAAGTGTCTCCACTTCTCACGCACAGGGATACATACACACACATTAATGGACACACATACTCATATGCACTTGCACACTGACAAAAACAGAAGGTAGAAGAAAATAACAAGACCAAACCAATGAAAACAGCTGAATAATATATCACACGACAAATATTTATGTCCATGTAGAATATTACAAATCAAAATCCATCCAGCTAAAATCAAACTCCCCAAGGCAATTCTGCAGATAATATAATTAATTAATACTGATTATATTTCAGAAAAGAAAATGTAATGAATAAAAGACCTTACAGGTTCTTTAGTAATGTAGGAATATTGATATAGATATTTTCAATGGGAGCCAATGAGGTAGCATAGCAAGGTAATGTTCCACTGTTGCCCCAGCATCCCATATGGCCGCTGGTTCATGTGCCAGCTGTTCCATGTCCAATCCAGCTCCCTGCTTCCAGCCTGAGAAAGCAGCAGAGGATGGCCTAAATCTTTAGGCTCCTGCACCCATGTGAGAGACCCAAAGAAGTTCTTGGCTCCTGTTTTCAAATCTGCTCAGCTCCAGCATTGCAGCCATGAGGGGAATGAACCAGCAAATACAAGATGACCCCTTCTGCCTCTCCTCTGTATATGAAATCTGCCTTCTCAATAAAAACAAATCTTTTTTTTAAAAACATGCTTTCAATGAAATACTTGTAATCAAAGTAAATATTCCTTTTTTATCTTTTTTAGAGGCGTTTCCCCTTCATTCGTGAGGTAAAACATTTTATTTATATAGATGTATTTGTTTTTGTTTTAAATTGGATATTACATTGAGACTTTACCTGAATTTTTTTTACAAGGTAATAGACATAACTGCTGGCATATTAGTACTATTAGTAATCTCTACTGGTCGGGTGGAAAAATATTTACAGCCACAAAGTTATTTACAATATCCATGTTTGACCAGCAGGTGTGTGCTCCTTTTCAAAGAGCAGAGCCATAAAAACATGCACTTAATGTGTGCTCTGCCCAGCTTCCACTTAATGGACTTAGTTTACTTGAACAAATTAGGAAGTGGTTGCATCCAGAGAAGCTATGATTATATACCAGATTAAAGATAAAGAAATTGTATAATAGTGCCTTACGTATATTGAAGTGGAGTTTTGAAACTAGAAACTACTCGTAAAAGGGTGTAATGTAGGATGTTGGATGATTTCTATGTGATAAATATTCATTGATTAGAAAGGAGACCAAAGCATTTATTTAGCAATAAACTTTCACTTTGTTTCTAAGTTCCTTGTCATTTTTTAATCAAAACTTGTTAATGTGAGTGAGTTAAAAGTTTACATATATCCAGCCACAATTATGCAGTAGACAGACATGACAATCTAAGAAAAAAAGTCATAATGTTAGGTCTGGGAGGTGCATACCATTAGACACATTGCAACAAAATAGGAATCTTGTGAAAATAAACTAAAAACCTGAAGCATGGAATAATAGTATTTTAAATTATCTATGAATTAATATTATAATCGTCATATTCCAGGGTTCTATAATCCAACTAAATAATTGAAACTTACCTCTGCAAATATACTAGAATACACATCACTTGTGTCATGCATAGGGAGACTGACAAAATGATGTATGAGAAAACACTTAAATTGGTGATGAGGGAACCAACCTAAATTTGGATCAAAACATGAAACTTCAATTAGAAACTTTGGCTTATGTTGCATTCCAGACACAATATCACAGAAACCTCACCTAAGTTTCCTAGTGTGTAGCTTCCAATACATAACACAGAGACAATACAAAGCAAGCACTCATTTTATAATTTTTAAAATGAGCCATGCAATTCAAATCATAATATAAAATATTTCAAAGTTGCCAAAGTACAGTCCACATTTATTGAATGTGTGATGCTGTAAATCCCTGCTTAGTCATTGGGATTTTCTGGTGAACACAAATAACGATGTTATCTGAATATCTGAAGGTAACACCTCTAGACACAACACTTGATTTGTCATGTCTGAAAATGCATACATAGCTATGTGTAAGATGTTTAATCGACAGTATAGAATTACTGGAATTGGCAGTAAATTATAATTAATGGCCACACATCTAATTTGCAAGGCTGCGTTAGTGTACATGGGGCTGAGTATACACACCCACAGGAAAACAGCACAAGGCATAGCTTAGTCTCTTAGAAAACTCTAACAGTGTTGTGTGTTAGTCATTCTCTATGCATGCTATGATCACAAAGATATTCAGCAGTATGGAATCTCAAACTAATATTGTCTCCTTTGTTGCCTTAGAAATTCTTCTCATCCAGCGAAGAGGTAAAACATATTCGTTTTTATTTCTATTTTAATATATTAAAATGTACCTTACATTTTTTGCTTAAAATAGTATTTTTATTGATTATTATTAAAGTATTTATGGTGCTTTTTTTTGAAAATTAGAAGAAAGCAATCCTATGATAAGCTAATTTAAATATAAAATAATAATAAGCATACTTATCATAAAATATCCTGTAATTATTTTTCCAAATAAATATGCTATTTACTGTCACTTCCTGATATTGAGTTACTCTAATATTAATTCAATTATATAAATTAAGTAAGATTTACATAATAGAAAAGTGTTACCAATAAAGAAAGCAATGTTTTCCAACAAATATAAAATATGTCTACATTCATAACTGGTGTCTCTTACTTTAGAATCAACTTAGAACATATTTAAAGAACATAATCCTTCCTATAGATGGGTACTAACAAAAACACACAAACAAGTACATTGTCTGCCACATTTGAAATGATACGTATGTTATAAAAATAAAAGTGTTTCAATTGTAGTTCAACTAGCTGTGCAACAAAACAAGGACTCCAGGACACTATCTTGAAACCAGAATTGGCCTGCTTATGAAAATGGACACATTTATGATGAAATAAATGTATTTGAAACCTAAAAACATAATTTTTTATAAAATCTTATAGAATTGTGTAATCTTCCTGGCAGTCTGGCATACATATAAAAGACTAACTTCAACCACAGAAAAATATGAAGTTTCAACCAAAGAAATCTGGTTTGAAATCTAACAATCAGCTAAGAAGCAGCTTAACTAACTAATTAGGTATGCCGAGACAACAGGGAAAGCTATCACAGTGGCTCATAAAAAGCAGAGTTAAAGATTTTTTTTTTTTTGGTACAAAACAAATTCAAAAAAGCTCATGGAAAATGTGCATGGGTTTCAAAATTGCCTTATACAGAGTCAATGTCATTTAATTCTATTTTCCTACAAACTTTGAGATGTCTACCTGAATTTGCAAAACCAGTGGTAAGTTAATCACTTCTAGCCTGTTAACTGTCTTATAAACAATTTGAGCTGCACAGCATGAAGGAGTAAAGAGTTTGAGGAAGAGTAAGGAGAAGTGTAGAAAGGCAAATTTTGAAAACTGCGTGCTTGGAAGACGCAGAACAAGGAAGCGCTTTAGAGACCCCGAGGTTTCTGAGGGTATTTGGCAGGGCAGCAGGGACCAGAAAAAGAGGCGTGGAAGTTTAAATCCTGTCATCCTGCAGGAACGCTAGAAAGTGCAGGAGTTTCCTTCTGTTTGTGTCCCAACCTGGGTTGGAAAATGAAGCAGACCATAAAACTCTTATTTGCCTCAAAACAAAGTTTCTCCCTCAAGTACAGTTTATCTAATTTTGTTGAATGATTAATCCTTTCTTAGAAGTTTTATAGTTCACATAGTGGTTTTTTTTCCCAAACTTTCTATTCCTTCTTCACATTTCTGGGGCAGGGCGAGGGGAGAGGGAAAGGATAAGGCGAGAAGTCATACCCAGCCTCCCAACAATCCATTACCTGAGGATGGGGAAAGGCCACCCGACATCAACCCAGGATCAGAATGTGGTATGTGCTCCCAGGGTTCTGCCCAGGTGGATGCAGTAGTTTAAAAATGCTGTTGATCTCGCTGATCTATGGATGAGGAATCCCTTCTAATGTCCATTAGCTGCCCAGATATTTGCTGTCATCATTTGGTTGAGGTAGTTGTCCATATATTCTGCTTTTTCTGCTATGATACCAGATGTCTTCTGCAGACCCAAATGAACTACCATGTCCTCTGTGTGCACCATGTTCTGCCAACCAAAACTCCATCCTTTATTCTGAGGGGGAACAAATCTCATAGGTAGGCTCATGAACCTGGGCCAGGAAAACCAGGCCCCTCCGAACCCTCAAGCCCTGGGTCTCACAGACCCAGAACCTACTACACAGGCTGACCCAGCAATCTGGGCCCGAAGACCCAGGCCCCTCCGAACCCCTGACCCCAGAGCTCACGGAACTAGCACCCACCTCACAGGTGGGCCCTAGTATTTAGTCCAGGAGACCCAGAGCCCCTGGACCCTCCAACCCTGGGGCTCACAGATCCAGTACCCAACATGCAGGCAGGCCCAAGGCTCTAGGCCATGCAACCCCAAACCTGCCAGAACTCTCACCCCCAGCGCTAATGGACCTGACACCCACCATGTAGGCAGGCCCAGTGACCTTGGCCAGGAGACCCAGACCCTTCCAAACTCCCCACCTCTGGGGCTCACGGACTAGACACCCACCAGGCAGGTGGGGTTCGGGACCTGGATCAAGTGACCCAAGGCCCTGCCAGTCCTCCCACCCCTGAAGCTCATAGATCCAGCAACCACCTCACAGACAGACCAAAGGATCTCCTGTCACTGGGGCTCACAGACCCAGCACCCACCACCCCAGACTGGCATGACTCATCTTACCTCGGCATCTACCAGTGAGTGCTTCAGGCCCCTGTCCCAGCCCCAGTGTGAACTGGTTGGTGATGAGGCCCGACCAGGTCCCTCCTGTACCTCATCCTGGTTCTCAGATCTTCCAGTGGATATTATAAACTGGCCCAGCCTCACCCATCCCCTGACCTGACCTGCATGTATGCCTATGGGTAACCTGCCCTGGTTTGGGCTGCCCCTTTCCTTGGTTCTTGGACTTACCTGTAGGGACTGCAACCTGACAAAGGAGTTCACCAAACTCCTCTACCTGGTCTCCTAGTGGCAGATCTTGCACACACTGATGGATCCCTGGCCCAGATTGACTTTATCCACATCTTGTCCTGGTAGGAATGATGCCCTTGCCCAAATGGCCCATACCCTTTCTGATTTTTATTGTTGGGTGTTATAGCCCATCCACACCTAGTCTGTGATCAGACACAGCTCTCCTGTGGTTCAGCAGGAGCTGAGACTTAGTCCAACCTATTCTACAATCACCCTCACTCTCTTGAGTACCAGTGGGTACTGGAGTCTAGCCCAGACTGGCACTCCCCAGTCCACATCTGTGCCAAGGGAGATTGGAGCCATGTCCAGCCCAGGACAATGCTCTAATTCTGGCTTTCGCATTCACCAGTATGAGTTCAAGCCCAGCTGGGACATCCATTTAGCTCCTCAACTAGGCCAATTCCCAGCCACAGACCTTGTAGATGCTAACAGAGATTGCTGTTTCTGCATGAGTGAGCCCACATACTCCCCCACAGATTCTATCCCAAGGCTTGATTCACTCATGTATTTGTTGGCTTCATGGTCCAGCCTCACAGTCCCAATTCTGTTTTCTGACACTCTGGTGAGTTCCATTTTCTAGCCCTTCAAGTAGAATAAACTTATCTGTGTAAATCCCAAAAAAGTCATTCCTCATCAGGGCATGAACCCTCAGGTCTCGCTCATCTCCACCTTGGAAGCCCCACCATTCCCCAGATTCCATGTAACCCCATACCCCAAGTCTCCACAATGGACTACTTGGCAGCCCAAGAGCTTCACCTGGCACCATTGGTGCCCAGGTGTCCCAGCCCAAGTTGCTCCAGCTGCAGGGATCCACTGACCCACATGAGTGTTAAGAACAGATAATTTGGAGTCCCCAAAGATAAATATTATGTGTTTTCCCTGATCTCTGATAACCAATATACAGAGTACACAAAATGTAATCTGTATGAGTGAGATTGACATCCTAGGATTTGACTGTTGGTTATAGCCCTGGCCTATACTTCTGAGCAGGAGTAATCTGTTTTTCCTACTTGCTATGACATCTTGTTGTTGATACCTTTATCTTTTGGAATGTTAAGCCTGTGATTGCAAAGTGAAATGAAAACACACTATTGTAAAAATTCTCTAAAAGAAAAGAAAAAGTAAAAAGAAGGAAGGGAAAGGAAAGTAGGTGGATTATGGAGTCAGGAGGGATGGTAGGGTGGGGGAAAACTATGCTCCTAAATCTATATTATAAAATATGTGAAACATATTCACTTTATATAAATAAAAATGAAAAAATATGACAGCATATGTAATTACATTCATAATATGAGTAACAAGTAGCTAGGATAAACAAAGCACTTTAACCGACTTTTTTGCTTCTCCTTTAGGATTACAATGGCTATCGTTACCCACTTAATCCATCCGCGAATGTTCCTTTTGGTTTATGGAACAACAATTTGCCACCTCCTCCTCCTCCAGCTGCTAGTTACCCCTCAGCAAATAATGGCCCCAATTATCCTGCACGTGCTGGTCCTGGCAGAGAGACACCTTCATATCCCTGGGTTTTCACTGCTCCTAGGAAGCAGTATGCATACCAAGCCCCTGGTTATCCTCCAGCTAGTGGGTATAATGCTCCTGTTCCTGGGGCATCCCCACTTGTCCCACCTGGTGCTCTTGCAGCACCTGCTGCTCCATTTAGTTCAGCTGAGTCCGCTGCAGGCCTGTCTCCTCCATCTGAGCCTGCTGCAGCCCCACCTTCTCAATCTGAGCCTGCTTCAGGCTTACCTGCACCATCTGGGCCTGTGGCATCTGCGCCTCTTCCATCTGAAACTGCGATGGCTCACCTTGCTGCACCAGCACATGCTGCAGCTCACCCTGTTGCAGCTCACCCTGTTGCAGCTCACCCTGTTGCAGCTCACCCTGTTGCAGCTCACCTTGCTGCAGCTCATCCTGCTGCAGTTCACCCTGCTGCAGTTCACCCTGCTTCATCCAAGCCTGCTGGAGCTGAGCCTATGGCAGCAGAACCTGCCTCAGCCGAATCTGCTGGAGACGGAGAAGGAGACGACCCTCTTGCAAACAAACCTATCTCTGCAGCAGAGGCAGCTGCTGCAGAGCTGGCTGAAGCAGAGCCTCTTGCACCTGAACCGCTGGTATTTGAGTCTGCTGCAGATGAGCATACTTTAGATGAACCTGTTGCAGATGAACCTCTTACCACTAACCCTCTGATCGTTCCACCTCTCTCTGCAGAACATGCTTAAACTTCTCTTCCATCAGGTAGGTAGTATGTACCTCATCACAGTAAAGCATGATTTATAGAATACAAACACAACCTCCCAACAAACACATGAACTCTTAAAACATACCAACCAAACTGCCTTATTGATGAAACAGATTGACATTCCACGCGCCGTAAATATTGAAAATGAAAATTGTGATAAATTTTAATGGAGGTCTATATCCAAAAAACAAATTCGCAGGACGATGAACGTAACTGCCACCACCCAAGATCCCCTCAATATTCATGGCCACCCCATGCTCCCCTTGCTCTGATGCTCAACGTCTTCCTCCTGCCACCACAAACTGACTTGCATTTTCACACTTTGAAGTAAACGTATGAACACCTTTGTGCCTGGCTTTGTTCACCTTTAGACTCAGCCACGAAATTACCTGAATGATAATCTAAAAGTTTATTAGAATGCATAGTACAGGGGAAAAAGACTAGATCTAAATTTCATTCTTAAACAGAAACATATTTGATTCCATTTCTCTGCAAACTTTTTAAAAGATTTCTTTTCAATGGAAAGGTAGATTTACAGAAAGAGAAAGAGAGGAGATCCTCCATCTGCTCGCTCATTCCCCAAATGTTCACAGTGGCCAAAGCTGAGCCTATCCAAAGCCAGGAGCCAGGAGCTTCTTCCAAAGCCATCCATTGCTGCTTTCCCAGGACCTAATCATGCAGCTGGATTGGAAGTAGAGCAGTCAGGACACTAACCAACACCCAAATGGGATACTGTTGCTGCTGGCAGACTCTTAGACTGCTATGCCACTGAATCCCCACACATACACCATAAAATTTTTGTTCTTTCATGTATACAAATAGTTCTGTGCATAGATTTCACTATATGGAGACATTCTCTTTAAATAGAAAAAAAAACATTTGAAAAACAGGAGAGGAAGGAAGAATTGAGGAGAGAGTTTCCATCTGTTAGTTAACCCTCAAATTTCCACATAAGCCACAATTAGGCCAGACGCACAAGTACTTGGATTCTTTTCCAAGGCACATTAGCAGAAAAGATGAATTGGAAATTCCAGATAGCTGAAACTAGAGCTGACTAATGCCCCATTAGTCATTTCATCACAGTCATCTCCTGGGGATATGCCACCTTAGTTTCAAGCTCCTTATCCTATCCTAAAGTTTTCTTCTAGTTTTACTGTTATAAAAGTTCAATGGATAGAAAGTTCCTGAAGGATTTTCAATAACTAAGGTGGAATTCTAATTGAATATTGGTGGTTATTGTCACAATGCCTGTTAACAACCATTGCCAAGAAAATTAAAGTCTCAGTTTTGATTAAATTCTCACCATCGATCTATGATTTTATATTAATTTTACTATTATGTAAGATGGAAAGTTGATTATTATATGTAAGTTGAAAAGTTGAGATAGTTTGAACTCTTAAAAAGATTTAATTTCAGAATTTGTTTGTGTTTGGACTAAGTATCTTATCTATTAAGCTATTGCTTTTTAATTAGTTATTTAATTTTATATAAGCTATTTAATTCTAAATAAGGGAAAAACTATCTTTGTAATAAAGGCTCCATTAAGCTCAAGAAGGTATTTACTTCAGATCATTCAGTATCAAAACACAATAGTTGTCTGAAATTAGTATCCACATAAAACAATTTTTTCTGAGTACAAATGCATGCAAATCAGTTATAGCATCAAATTAGCCTGTATTTTAAGTGAATCATTACAAAAAACCATTAATTTGTAGACAGATGTATAGTAAAACTAATATTTGTCTTTTTCAGATACTGAGGCAGAAACAGTGAAATCTACAAAACTGTTCTTTCTGTTCCCTAGATTATTTCATTATAATAAAACAACGAATTCCACCAATACTGATCCATTTGTGATGATTTTTCACTAGACTTAATTTATGTCAAAGTTCACTTTAGTTTGATATTATGGTTTTTAACTCAAAAGATAGAAGGTCTACATCATAAATACATAAAAATCAGTTGTAACACATTAAACCCACCATTGCAATAAACACTTTTCTTTCGAACACTACCTAGAAAAATGCCACACAAGTATGAGTAGATTCTGATTTTAATGCTTTCGCCCCAAGCTTTGCAATGGATGAAAGGCTTCTGAGAGAAAACCAACCTTCATTCATGACCCTCTCTCTATACTCCCTTAAACCCAAAATATTTACATACTTTTAAAAAATGCAATCTATGCTATACTTGTCAGTACTAAGAGATGCTTGTCTACAAAAAACCTTGTGAGATCTATTTAGTTAGTACTCAGCTAAAATGTGTCAGAGACAGGATAGAAGAGCTTAATATCAAAACATGCAATTTGAACTATTTGGAAGTTCGGAATGTGCAGGAAATTAAGATGAAGTTAAGCCCAGTCTGAAGGCAAGTTACTAGTTTCTTGAAGCTGTTACAGTAAATGTCAACTAATTTATCAGAATGAAACCACTGATATGCTATCATGATCTAGAGGCCAAAATTCCATAATCAATTTTAGTCAATTAAATCAGCAGTGGTGGTCGAGTTGTACCCCCTCTATTAGGTTTCTGGGAGAACCATTCTTCCAGCCTCTCTCTCTATAGCAATGAAATTACCTGGTGCCTACCCACCTCTCTAATTTCATAGGCGAAGTCACTTTGTCTCAATGTAATAATAGGGAAATCTAGGAGAAATAGTTTTGTAATAAGCAGCCAATTTCTGCACATCTCAACATGTTAGCCAATATACATCAATTCTACTCTTCCTCTCAAGCAGAGAAAACTTTCTCTTCAGGTAAGACAGAATTCAGGATACTGACACGCACCAAATTGGAATATGATTCCTCCAGGTCCTGAGAACTGAGCTGAAAAGAAAAGTTGTCAACCCCAACTCTATTTATTCTCAGCTAATTATTTTTAAATATATACATAATAAGAGGAAGGAAGAAAAAACAAAGTTACCTGATGCTTAGCAATTAATCCTCTTCTTTTTTTTTAAGCTTTGCCTATTCTTTCCTTGAAAGGCAGAATTACAAAGAGAAAAGAAATGGGGGTGAGGAGGAGGGGGGAGAGAAGCTTCCATCCACTGGTTCATCCCCCATTGGTCTTTTCTGTCACAAAACAGTGAAGCTTCTAACTTATAATAAAAAGCACATTGACCATGCTATCCATGACATACTGGGCTGTTTAAAAGTGAAATCCACAGTTCTTCAACTGTCTTTTATTCAATGCAATCAATCCAGCAGTAATCGTGGCCCTTCAAGATGTGCTCCTCATCCTAAAACCTCTCACCTTGCCTACTGCTTGCAGCCTGGTGCCAGCTATTGCCATGCCTCAAAGGAATGAAAGCCTCATTTCTTAACTGATCTACCTGCTTCCAACTTTTTCTCTTCCCCACTTGCCTTAGCCACACATTTACACTAACCAGTGACCACTCGCCGTCATTAAATCACATACTATGCATACTATAATTTCTCTCTCAAATCCTCTAGTGAATTCTCTTTTGACAGGATCTCTTCTGATGCTGACCACAAGCTAAGTTGTTTTGACAAACGAGTTTTCAGCTTTACTTGCTGTCCACTCCATGTTGCTCCATGTTGCAAGTATAATGCTTGGGCTTTTTCCAAGTATGTTGTGTGTGTTCTTACCCAAGATCTGTGCTCTGATTTGTGACCAATTAGGATGCTTCTCCACCTCTGGGACTTATATAAGGTGTCATTTCAGAGTAGTAAGCCCTGAATATGGAATCTAATACATTCCTCCTCCCTAACCCATTTATTTTCTGTTCCATTACTGCTTTTTAATAGAAGTTATTACCTTCTAGTTTTAGATTTTTATTTACTTGTATATTTGTCTTTCCTGCTGCCTCCTTCCAACTTCACAAAAATATAAATTCATACAAGATTAAAAATTTACTCTTACCATGTCATCACCAGGGTCTATAACAGGGCCTAACAAAATATTGGCTATCAGTTACATCTTTGGAAAAAGCGTATTTTTAATTTTTAATAATTTCTGAAACATTGCTAATGTATACAATTGCTCTATCTTAGGTTAGAATAGAGTAATAATGTCATTTGTAGCCACACAGATATGTGTCTGAAAAAATGAGAATCTATGTCAGATAAAAAGTAATAATAGTAGCAAGTACAGGAATTATTAGTATGACTGCATCCCGTACTTGAATTCCTCAGTTCAAGCCCCGGCTTCATCTTCTGACTCTAGCTTCTTGCTAATGCAGACCCTGGGAGACAGCCTCACTGGTTTAAGCAATCAGGTTTTTGCCACCATGAGGGAGACCTACATCTACTTATCAGTTACCAGGTCCCAGAGGCTTGAGTCTCTGCAACTCAGATGGGAAATACAAATAAAGTTGTTGGTTCCTGGCTTCAGCATGACCTATCCATCGTAACAGGTATTTGTGGGGAAAAATCAGTAGACAGATGACCATTCTGTCTATCACTGTGTCTTTCAGATCAATCAATTTGAGAGAGAGAGAGAGAAGCAACCCATGTATAAAGCAGCCATGGTAACAAACATGGATAGCAGGCACAGAATTAAAGTCATGGATTCTTTTGCCCATTTAAGTTGAAAACTGAGATAGTCTCATCTGCCATCAGCAGATATCAAAGTTGGGCCCTTAGTATTACACCATCTACCCAGGAGTCCAAGTGACTGACTGATTACACTAGTTATTCTTATTTTCAAACAGAAGCATCTGTTCTCATATGTCCTATTCCCTTGCATGATACTTTACTAAAATCATCATACATTGTTTTACAAAATGCCTTTTCCCCATAGAAGTCTTGCACACAATATTGTCCTTTTTCTAGTAACTAATTTCACAGGAAAAGAACAGCCATAAAATACTCATGAGCAAAGGACTCATGGATCTCACATGTAACCCAGAGCCAGAAGCAGCTGATCTGCTTGTACTTTACCAGTTACTGTGTTCATCCCCAAAACAACAGTTACAAAAGCAACAGTTGATTCATTCATACAACCGTGCGTTTTTCACCCATGCAGTTTTCCCAGCTTCCCTCACATAATCTCATGCTTCTCTCTCAAGGATGATGCAAGCCAGCCAGTGCCTCCTCATCTGAATACTGAAACCAGTTCTACAAGGTATAATGACTCCACAACTACAAGATCTTGGAAATAATCCCCTTGTCTTAGCTCTCCTACTCCCAAGGTGGCAGCTGATTTGGTGGTGGTCTTTTGCTTTTTCCGTTCTCTAATAATCAACAGTTACAGTATGTTTTCTCAAATAATGTATTTTCCCTTTGTATGGGCTTAAGTCAGAGAACTCATACAAATTGTTTGCACATCTAATCATTCTTTTTTGTATTTTATTTAAACAACCTCATCTTTTCAAGCAAATTATATTCTTATTGGAAAGTCATATTTACAGAGAGAAGAAAGACAGAAAGAACTTCCAACCGCTCTTTCACTCCCCAAGTGATCACAATGGCCAGAGCTAAGCTGATCCGAAACCAGGAGCCTGGAGCCTAGAGATTCTTCTGGGTCTCCCACATGGATGCAGAATCCCAAGGCTTTGGACCATTCTTGACTGCTTTCCCAGAATACAAGCAGGTAGCTAGAAATGAAGTAGAGCAAGCGGGATATGAACCCAGCACCCATATGGGATCCCAGCGCATGCAAGGAAAGGACTTTAGCCACTAGGCTATGGTACCAGGCCCCAGTCTTCTTTTTTTAAGTTTTATTTATTTTTTTGGAAAGGTAAATTTATTGAGAAGAAATGAGAGAAAGAGATATCTTCCATCTGTTATTTCACTCCCCAAATGCCTGAAACAAGGAGCTTCTTCCAGGTCTCCCACATGGGTGCAGGTGCCCAAGGACTTGAGTCTTCTGGCACTGCTTACCCAAGCCATAATAAAGGGAGCTGGATCAGAAGTGGAGCAGCTGAGACTTGAACTACCGACCATATAAGAAGCCACTGCTGCAGGTGGTGATTAAGCTTACTACACCATTGCACACTGTACCAACCCCTGATGATTATTCTTCTTCTAAAAAAAGAGATTTATTTATTTTTATTGGATATACAGAGAGGATGAGATACAGAGAGAAAGATCTTCAGTCCCAATTCACTGCCCAAGTGGCCGCACCAGGCAGAGCTGAGTCGATCTGAAGCCAGGAGTCAGGAGCTTCTTCCGGGTCTCCCACACAGGTGCAGGGTCCCAAGGCTTTTTACTCTGTCTGCAAAGTACAGATCTTTAACCAAGGAAACACAGTCAGGAAAAAACAGCTGTAGATGTCTTGGCTTAAGATGGTAGAGGAGGTGAAAGGGGAATGAGAGGGGAAAAAAAAGACTGAATAATCTAATTGATCGTGTGAAATATGTGATATCCGTGGACATCCAAGAAAAGCAGTATAATATGTGACTATTCACATGAATTGCTCTCAGGAAAGGAGAATAGCCAGTGCTTGTTAGATGCGAGTATTTCAAGTCAAGGATCCAGGTCACTGCTGCTCCAACCATCCATCTGCTACACTTCTGTAAGAGATAAGAAGAGATAAGATAAGGAATTTAGAAGGCAGGTGAAAATGCTGGTTACAGATTTGGGGTGCTAGTTTTATCAGAGAGCTTATATTTCAGCAAGAAGCTTTCCAACCCCAACTCCACCCAAATTCAACAAGTCATGACTGAGCATGGTGGAAAATAACAGATAACAAGAACCATCAAGGTCTGTCCGTTCTGCAGGTTCCATGTGCTCCTCTTCGTCCCTTCCCTCTCCACCTACACTGATCTTACCTAAGTTTCTCTCATTCGAAACATTTCATTAGCTTTCCCTGCTGTTACATTCCATTCACCCTGTCCCATCACACACTATTCCTCCAGAATAGCATTTCTTTCCAAATA